TTCTTGGTTAAACTTGTGGGTTACATGCATTGTTTCCTCGTTATGCTTATGTTAATTCAGGATTAGGGGATGGGTAGGACAGAGCCAGATGCTTATCTTTTAAGTGGAAGAGGGTATTCACTCTCTGATTCTTTCTTCTGGTTAAGGAATGCATTCCAAGTTTCTGTCAGCAATAAGTTTGAGCAACTGCAAAGCAGTGAGCAGTTATTAGCCTGAGAAATGAGATAGCCCAGATTTCCAGTTATGTTCCAATTCTGTTTCTCAGGGTCCGCTTGGTTCTCGTAGGTACTCCCCAAACGGTGCAATTCATGACAGTGCAACCTGAAAGCAGTCCCTTTTCAGCCAGACTGGAAGATTGCCTGTACATCTGCCTTTATCCCAAATGATCTCTTTTCTAACAAATTCCGTTTTCTTTTACAGTCCTGTCCCAGGCTACTGAGCTATATGGTTAGGAGGGATATAGGTCTTGCAATTTCAGGGACATCTTTGAACTTCATTGTATTTGTTAATGCATCCTAATGTGAGATCCACAGGCACAGTCAATACATGGTCTCTTTTCCCTTTACGCCTCTTCCCAAATTGTTAGAAGTGGAAGGGGAGACAAAGACTGTTGCTGTGCAGTAGTGACGGCATGGTAGCTAATGTATCTCTTTTGAGCTGAGGACAAGACTTTGAGCTTTCCCTAGGTGATTTTACTTTTGCGTGTGTGTAACACTTCTAAGTGATTCTCTCAGGCAATAAAACCGTTAATATAATTTCCTTATACATCATATTGCATATATTTATATGGTACAGAACGTAGAACTGTATCTGCTAATGTGTAAGTTCAAAGGGATAAAGAATCAACTAGTCATAAATACATTTGCTGTTATGGAAACCAGTCAGAATTTTGCACTCGGTACAGTTGAAATGGAATAAAATCTTGAAAATACTGTGTTAGGTAAGCACTGTCTGGTAGAAATAAATATGGCAGGGCAAATCAAGTCTCAATTGTCTGAAGATTAATGTTTAATTTTTTAAAAAATAGATATTCTCATGGAAGATTGAATCTTCTTCAATTCCAATCACTGAATAGAAATTCAGATTTCAAAATTTCTGTAGTGTGTTCTCTGATGAGACCACCAAAGTCAGTCTTGAAAGTATTCTGAGATTTGGTTAAATATGTTTAGATTACAGAAATTAGTTGATTTTTGATAACAGTTCAGGAAGGAAATGGTACTTCAGTGTTGGAGCCTGCAGAAGTTGCATTTTCTGGTGATGGGGGAGTGGATTTTGGTTTTCCTGTTACCAAGAAAAAAAGAAATTCACTGAGAGATACCAGAAGTTGTTATCTAATCATCTGAAGCAAGTGTTTACAGAAAATTCCCACCCAATATTACAAGATTTGTAGTAATAAATATATTTGGCAGCACTTCTTGACCCTTAGGATACGACTTTGATGTATGCTGTTGTATACTTACCTTTCCACCATTTCATCTTTTAAAATGAATGCAGAAAAGATTATTGGTCACAAATAATGGTGGCAAACTTAGGGGGAAGTTTCCCATCGGGCTCAGCCAAGTTAATGGCTCTTTACTGCTGAAAAGTGATCCTGATCCTCTTGCTTCACTGGTGATGTAACTCTTCCATTGCTTGCAGCATCAGTTCTGTCTTGCTAACCACACTTGCCATCAGCTGTTAATGAAACCTGTGAAGGTGCTAGAGATGCAGGCAGTCTCTTTCGAGTAGCTGTTGTTCTTTCTGCCAAAATTTCATGTTTACATCAGTGCATAGGCTTAGTGGGCAGGGGATGGTACTGCAGCCTGGGCAGTGGGTCAGGCTGAAGTGTTTCCTTTATTTCTTTATTTAAAAAAAAAAAGTTTCTTACATGTCTCATAAAAAAGTATGGTTAAAAAGATAGAAAAATGATACTTCAGAGACTGTCATTGCAAACAAAATTAGGTAATATTGCATTACAGATTATTTTAGTATTGGGTGCATTCTGTCTTTATTTTTTTTCTCTCCTAGCATTTTAGTGTTGTGTCCACAGCACCGAGGAATATTTTGTTTCTCATCTTTAACGCTATCTCTTAATACTGTGGGCTTTTCCTTGCATACTCTAGAGTGTATGCATGCTTTTAACATAGCTTTACTCTCTTCCTGTGTTGGGAAAGCAAATTCAGGATGAAGGGAGTTAATAATCTGTTGAGCATTCCGAAACCTCTGTGTGAGGTTAACGAGTAGGGATGCAATGGGAACATGGGGAAGGGCTAGCTGGGATTTGCGGGGAGAGGCTGGTCCTGTACAGCAGCAGCCAGAACGCTGCTTTGCTGGGTGGTTTCCTAGTTTTTATAGGAGATTATTAGGAGGCCTTTTGGGTTTGGGATTTTTTTTGCCCTGCTCAGTGAGTTAGCTGTCAGTTAGGAGGAGCTGTCTTCAGTAGAACTGTTGAGGTACTTCGTTGTTGCTAAAAGTAGTACAGTTATTTTTGAGGATTGATGTCTAAGAGTTAGGAACACTCAGTTTTATTATTATTCTAGTTTTCTTTGTGTTTGCACTGGTCTGCCAACTAAAATAAATGTCAATGTGTGCTTATTGATGTAAAATAGTTTCTACACAGCAAACTGGAAAAAGGATACTAAGCTGGTTAGTTTGAGAGGCCTCATAACATGCTCAATAGTGTTTAGTTCTCCTGTGACTTGCTATGAATTCTCCACAGCAAGTCTTCATGTGCCACAAGCACTAGTGAGTATAGATTTCACCAAGTGGTGCTTATCCTGGGGGTAGTCTCTGGAGTTGCCACAGTGACAGCAAAACGATGGCCAGCAAGGCAACTGCTGCGTTGAAGTACTGTGAGAATTGTGGGTGGCTGTGGAGGAGCCATAGGTAAAATGATGGCAGCTCAGCAGCAGCATCAGTTGATACCCTTCACTCCAGGAAGGACTTGAAAGTTCACCTCGCCACCCAGCAAGTAGTAGTCTTTGCTGATCTTCTACATCCTAAAATGTAGAAGCATTTACATCTTTACTAGAATTGCGGACAACCTGGGATGGCCACCAGCTGAAGGGTACCGGTGGGAAGTGTGGATGCTTGTATTTCAGTTGCGTGAGATTTCAGTACCCTGTATCTTAGCTGTTTCCTGGCATTCAAGGAGGAAACTGATGTTTGTTTAGCTGCCGTGTATATGGTAACAGTGATCTCAGGCAGCCAGCCACTGCTGGGAGAGGTGAGACCGGGAGATGTTTTTCTTTTTGGTCGGTCTTTCTGTCTTTCTTCCCCCCCCCTCCCCCGTTCTCACATAGTAATAATAAAGTCCTTAAAAGGTCCAATGTGGGATCCACATTTGTGTCTCATAGCTGTTAGGGACATAATAAGGGCCAGAGTGGTCTCTAACCAATGGTCCCTAAGAAAATCTCTGTGAAGGTAAGCTGTGAAAAAGCCAAACCAGGCTTTTTGTCTATGTCTCCTAGAGCATGTGCCAGGACAGCTAAAGTAGGATCTTCTGTGGTTTGAGGAAGAACTTATTTATTGTAGACATCTTAAAAGTGACCACCTTGAGGTCTCCTCATTCCTTCTTGAGATGTTGCACAACTCAAGACATTGGTTTTACCATATTGGGTAAAGTCATGATTCAGTTTGGTTTGAGCCTCAAGTTGTGAGCTCTGGGTGGACTGGTCACTGTTCTGGCATCCCCAGTAGCGGAATGCATGTGTGGACGATCAGATCGCTCAGAGGAAGGGGAAAATTTAGTGACATCCTTATCCACATTCCAGGGCTTGCCTTTTATCTCCTCATCTGCACCACTGTGCTGCAAGAAAGCGCGAGGATAATTAGTGTTCCATCCCTTGTAGGGACAGAGCTCGAGAGGCTCCTGCAGCTTGCATCCCTTGTGCATGCTGTGAATTCCTCTGAGTTTGGGTGTATGAGGTGCCCGCACAGCCACAGTGAAACAGATGGTACAGCTAAGGAACATTCCAGTGGTTTGCTACTCAGGCTAAGGACCCGTTTTGTTTTCCTCTACAGCGTTGAAGGACGTGCATTCATGTTATGTGGCCTGTCCATGCTAGCGGAACATAAATGACAAAAGACAAATGCGTTAGTTTGTCGATGGTCATTGACAGCAACAGTATGTTGATTTTTATCACCTAAGGAAAGAACCTAAGATTTTTTTTTTTCCTACTTCTTAGGGGAGGGGGGGAGAGATGTTTAATCAAACTTGGAAGGTTCCTGACAGTAATAAGTCTATTCAGATGATAGTATTCATGTCAAAGCTGTTAATGTGATATCTTACCATTTTATTTGTTTAAGAGGGATTGCTTGACTTGGAAGCGGATGCTTACAAACAATTAAAATTTGTATGGAGTGTTCCGTGTTAAGTAGAGGGGACTCACTGTGCATTTCTCAGGTGCAATGATGCTTTATCGTGTAAGTGCCATGTTCAGTGCAGCTGGTTCCTTTATATTCCATTTTAAGAATTATGTGTTGATCAAGCTGTCTGTGTATGTATGCTCTATGTAGATAAATGACCTAATTATACAGATAAAATTTAAATTCTTGAAAGTGGTTATTTTGATAATTGCAGGTATTAAAATCGGATATATTAGAGTTCCTTAGTCTTATTTAATAAGTTCCAACAGGTTATTCAGTTGTGAGGTTTTTTTTTAAATCAGCTTTTATTTGTTCTAAAAATAGAAAAAGTCATAAATACCATCTCACAAATACTTTAAAAACATAAGTTATACAAAAAATTTTTGTCTTCTGAAAATATTTTTTGTTGAATACATATTAAATAAGTTGATATTCTGAATAGTACCATTAGAAATGAAATAAAATACGTCCTTTGTTTAAATTATTTCTAAATATTGAAAATATAAATAAGAAACATTAGAAATGAATAAATATTTTAAATACAATAAATAAGTTCCTAGAAGGAAATGAGAATAAATGCAAATCATTGTTACTATTTCTGGTTCTTAAAACAGAACAACACTGTCATCTGCCACGTGACAGATTTGTAGTAAAGGATTGTGCCTGAATTAAAACATTCAGACACTGATACTCCTGGTATTTTTCAAATAGCGAACGGCCCTCACAGTTTTCTCCATAAACGAAGTAAAGTCGCGGAGGATGAGGTGAGTGGTGATTTTCTCTATCCAGGTCTTATCGGACTTCAGCTTTTCGTGGAGAGATTCCTTGGTAGCTGAGTCTGGGATGATTACTTCATCGGGATTGATCACCTGTGAAAAAGACAATATTGGGGTGTCCTGGTCAAAACATTGTAGCTGAGCTTGTTGGAGAGTATTGGTTTGTATGTGTAGCGCGTTCCTGACCAGCTGCGTATCCACCCTTTCTGCACTGCAGATGACAGACCTCCCCGGGACCTGCGCCTCCCTGCAGCCCTGTTTCTGCGGTGGGGTTTGAGGTGCGTTGATGCCTGCTGTGATTACCGCGGAAGAATCAAAGTCCGGCCCACACTGTTTGTTCTGGTTTGAATGCAGCGTCTGGCGCCGCGGTCCGACGCGCTGCGCTGAACAGGTCAATGCACCTCTCCTGCTACCTGCCGACCGCGTGGTTGGTTGGGAAGGTGCTGACTGTGATTTGTCCTGACCTGTGCTGGCTGCTGCATCCTGAGTCACAAGTTAATTAGATGACTTTGGAGTGCTCTCATATTCTGTAGTAGGTTAACGGTTTCCAAAGATGTCAGACTTGTTTAGCTGCTTAATTCTCACTTTCCAGGCATTTAAGCACGTGGGAGTCTAAGTGTCACCAGCTTTCACTGGTGTGTGGGATCCTGACTGCAAGATGAGTAAATGGAGTTATGTACCTAATGCTGACTGACAGCGCAGGGCACTCAGTAGCCAAATGCCTTTTAAGAACTTGTCCCGTAAAGTGGGTTAGGCAACTTCTGAAAATGGGAGTTACTCATCCAAATCATGGAGCTGTTTTAGATGATTTGGGGTCGAGAAGTCTAGCAATGATGTTATCTGCTTGATCCTGGTTTTGGGATCTCTCCTACCCTTTATAGGTGACAAAAGCATGCGCACCTCCTTCTGGAACATCTGTTTTTTGTGAAATTCTGTAAGATAACAAATATTTTTTCTGTACTACTTGGAAGTAGATTCCTTTCACACAGCCAGTGTGAAAATTAACCAGTTACTGTATAACTGTATGGTGTTACACAGTTACTGGTATATCCAGCTCCTTGTTGCACACTGAAACAGTTTGTATCTGGATATCCAAATAGGTATTGTGCTGATGGATCTGGCTGACCACAAGTGACAGATTCTGTCCTTGCTCTCCTTGCCTGAAATAGCAGATAGACTTCTCTCATAAAGAAAAATTTCCAACCTGGAGATCAAGACTCCTCTCTCTCTCAAAAACTCTGCAGTTTCTACAAGTACAGGTTTTGCTTTTGATCTCTGCGTTTAATTCTGCCTCTTCTAATTACCTCGATCTTACTATTTTTTTTAAAAAAAGTTTGTCTCCTCCAGTTATGAAACAAACTTTCTGCAAACTAAGATATCAAGTTGGAAGCCAGTAGTCAGTTGCTGTCTTACAACGGGACTATTATTCTTAGCTAGCGCAGTGTGAAAAAAGCAGTTCAGCTCCCACTTAAAGAATGATGGAGATAAATAAATATGTTAGGAAAGGTATGGCAAGCACACAATGGGCTTTTTGGATGCCAAGAAACACTTTGAAGGAAAGAATGCCCTGAGGTTTCTGCAGTCCTTACTCACCTGGGTGGTTCTTACTCAGGCAAATAGTTTCCCTGATGACAAAGGAAGTATTCATTTTAAGGGTTATTAACATGAGTAAGAACTGCAGGAATGAAGTGAATTTTTGAAGTGTGATCTCTCAAAGCTCTCCAAAACATAGGAAACAACTGTCAGAAATTAATAGCACTTAGTTTACCGAATCAAAAGACAATCGGGTATATGTAAAGAAGGAAGATTTTGGGGTTTTCTCATTATAATTCGAATTAAAATGTGTGCTTTTAAATAGGCAGCACCTTTTATTTAGTCAAGTTTTTAACTTATGTTCAGAATTTAACTGTCTTCCTTGATTTTTAAGCTAGCGATATCTCAGTAATACTGTACAGCTTGACTTAAAAGTTTGTTATGGAGAGTTTTAAAGATTAATGATATTGCAAAAAATGTATTTACTTTTATTTATGTGAGGGTTTTTTTTTTTTAAATACTTATTTCTGCGTCTTAGGGGATTGCTACATTAGAAGGCTTGGACTGAACAGGAGTTCCACAATTAGGAACAAGCTCCCTGAGAAATTCTGTCAGCCAGGCAGCATTAGTATATTTGTTCTTAAAACGATACGATGCGTTTAATTGTTGGTTTGGAAATTAGAAATTACACTAGAAAGTAGGAAGAAGAGTTGTTTCTTTAAGAAAAGGAAACAAAACCTTGTAAAACCTGTTAGTCATAAGGGTAAGTAAGTGTCTGAGCATAAGGAACCCATCACCTGTTTCTGCTGAGAGAAACGAAAGTGGGAAACGTTCAATTTCACATAACGTCCTGTTTCTCTGACTACACATCAGTGCTAAGCCATAACAATTACTGGAGTGAATCTAAATCCAACTCACCATTTGTCTTATGGTACCTGCCAGGTGCTCTGTGCTATAGCACAGCGATTCGACGTTTTGCTTTTCACTAGTAAAAGTTTTTTTTACGTATTCGAGATACGTCTGAAATGTATAAAGCCCGCTGGAGATTTTCCTCAAGCATTTATCCTGAAACGAGAGAAAGGTGAGAAAGTCACTTAGAGCTCAGAAGCGCCTCCGTCGCAGCGTTGCGCATGCAGCCCAGGTAAGCGGATGATGCTTGTACGGAGCGTGGAGGTCTGTGCCGTGCCAAAGCCAGCTGGAGCCGGCACAGATCATTAGGTCGACTTCCACATTTATTTGGAGCGGGCGAAAATCGCCCCAGGTAAATAGGATTAGGTCTGAAAGGAAAGTGGTTCCTTGCCTCATCGAAGCCGGTGAGCAGACACCCGTCTTCCTCCGTCACCTTGGGGAGGTTGAGGTTGTTCTGGAGGAGCATTTCCATGCTGTTCTCGCAGACGGTAAACTTCTCGCACATCTGGGGAGAGACACCGAGAGGTTTCGTCGCACCTCGGCCGGAGGCA